AAATTTTTTTCGTCAGTGAACTATTATTGTCGTGATGTTCATCTTATTTAAACTTGACATTTATAACATTCTTAACAAACAATTTAAGCATTTAATTGAATTTTGTACAATATTTATATTTTAATTTTTTAGATATCTTGAAAAAAGCTAATTTTCCATCAAATAAACTGTCCATATTATGGAATATGCTGAGTACAAATATCAAACGGAGAACAGTACTATTTTTTTAATACCCATAAATATTGTATGCACATACACTACTCGTTTTAAGTAATTTCTAATACTTATACACATAAGCATTAACATATTACGTAACAATAAATAAATATAGGATCTGTCGCATTTAATCGTTTCCAGTCACATAATTTCTCACGTGAATACTTTTAAATATGTTTATTAAGTGCCGTCCCCTTAGCATACCTACGAGTAATGTGACCGATGAGTGTGATGTGAAACGGAAATAGATCATGCCATGGAACAATTAAAGTGGTTATCTTGGCGACGTTGTATAAGTATTGTCAAATATTGTTTACGGATATATTGACTCATGAGCACCGCTGTGTATTGAACTGAAAAAATCGTATAAGAATATAATTAACTCGCTTTTACTCGAGTCTAGTTTAATAAATAATAAAATGTGATGTAGCTAATATAATAGTTTTTAATTTTAAATCACAATAACAATTATTAAAATGACAAAAATATATATATATAGGGTTAATGACTATAATATTTGTGATCAAATTATGGTTTAGTTTGCAATCGATTAAAATAATCGTCGAGTGTAATACATGTGATCCGTGCGTCATGCAGTGTTGCAGTATTACACTACAATATTCTTTTTAGCTATCAATCTATGATTACTTTCTAATCAATTGACATATTAGATTATTTTAACCTTGCGTTTCGCAGTGGCATTTCTAGGACTCGAGGAACCTCTAGAAGTCTAGACTATTATAATATTTCGTCCGCGCAACACTAATTACAAATAGTAAAATAATACAAGTGAGAGGCATGAATATACTGTTACACTTCCCAAATATTTGCACAATACACCCGAATGCTAGAACTGCCACTGTCCAAGGATACGAGACATAATAGAAATAACGGCTGATTTTTAATTATAACCAAGATGATTCGTTCGATGTTTGAAATTAATCACGGAGGCGATAATTGGGTTTTTCCGAAACGAATGGTATTACAACAAACGAAAAACTAAACATGTTAATTTATTTACGATGTACATTTATGAACTACACAACATCGGGAGTAATGAAATATTTCATAATTTGTCTTACGATTTTACGATAGTCATCGATAATACAATAAAAATAAAATATCGGTTTCCACTTGAGTGTCATTTTACATAACCGTGTGACTCGACGGTGTATTATAATTAGGACCCGGATTTCCATACACTTATTAAACTTGAAATAGTATGCATTTATTTATGCATTAAAAACCTTTAAATATGCACTTGATATGCTCTTATTTTTTTTATAATATTAAAAAATATGCTCTAATCCAAAATATATGCATTTATAAATATTTTTTTCTTTCCATAAATATCAATGCAACTCAATTAGATAAACTTAATATATTAAGTACAGATATCATCTTATAACATTAATTAAAGAACAAAAATATATATATTAAATAAATATTATAAATATTTATTAATAAATATATTTAAAAATATATACAATAAATAAAACAAATACTTTAATTAGGAATAATAATACAAAATAATAATAAAAAAAATGCACTAAATCCTTTTATACAATTTATTTCATAAATATTTATGAAAAAATATTGGAATTTTATAAAACATTATTCAACAAGTAAAAACACAACTTAGTTATTAATAATATATATATGATTTATGATATTTACTTTTAATAAAAATAATTCATAATTATATTTTCCATGTGTTCAGATGTCATATTTATCCTTTTATTACTTAATATACATTTATAAAGAATAAATGATTTTCCACATTTACCAATGTCAGTAGCGCCTATCTCATATTGGTCACACAGCAAATAGCGAAGTTTTCTGGAAGCTCTATATCATTGTTTCCTGATATAATTAATTCGATTTGTTTTAATACTTGAATGACTTTATTTTTGTGATAAAATTTGAGATATTTTAGTTTTTATAGTAGAACCTTTGTCATCTTGTGTACTAAATAAATTATAATTTAGTTTTTACAGTAATACAAAAATAAAATAATTGGTTTTTATGAAATTGTATAAAAAATATGCTTAAATATGCAAAAACTTCTTCAAATATGCCACTATTCCTAAAATATGCATTTATATGCAAAATTAACTTTTCCTATGCATTCTCAGTTACACAAATCGTCTATATTTATTACTCACAATAAAATACACACACCATTTAGAAATATGTAAATGCATATAAATCCCGATTATAATTATAATATTACGATATTGTGATAATTAAGTCGTACTCTCTCAGTTGCAAAAATAATAATCAGGTTCTTTATGCGCGAACACTTTTTCTTTTATATTTATGCGCATGTCCTTAATAATAATTTGTTGGTTTAGACTATAAATTTCTATTCTGATTGTGTTATCCAGTAAACCGTAAAACATTATTAGGTAAATCTTGGTTTTCTTTTAAGAACGTTTTCGTGAAAACGTTACCAGGATTATATTGTGAGATCATGTGCACGTGCGAGTGAAAATATGATCTTCAAATTGGGTTATATAATATTATAATGAACAACCATGTTTAACGAGTCGGAGTAGGGTATCACTCAACTCTAAAAAGTTTTATCATCAAACTCCGAGGGTAATCGTTGTACGCAACAATACAAATAATAACATAATATTATTATTATAATTTATTACGATGTTTATTGTTATTTATTGTACAGTTGTTCGATGATACTATGTATTGTGTAACACAATAATGCGTGATAACCATGCAAAACTAAACAATTACGATAAAATATATCGGTTTTTATAATATGTTCTAAGGTTGTGTGCACACCAATATTATAATATGATGAATTAATTAATTAATTTTAATATATAATTTAATATTGGGTAAAAATCTGCTCTGGACATTCGCGTAAAATTTCTAAATTAATTATCTTCGTCTAATGGCAAATTATCTATAGTTCTGGAATTTCTAGTTTTTAAATAATTTAACTCGCAGCGAAGTTTTTTCCTACGGTTTTTTATTTGCACTTGCAATAATTAAGTAGAACGCTCTGATACCAAGAACCAACTTTAAATAATACAGCCCCGGCCTCAGACCTTTCAGATTCAAGTATAGTTGGAAGAAGAAAAAGAACTACTGAACTTTTGTGCTATGCTAAGAGAGAAGGGTAGGACCACATACAGAGACCACCTGTTTTCTTGCGTTGTACATTTCAATGAATTCCAGCACTCTCATCTGCTATGATTTTATGCACGAGGAGTAGAGACAATCCATTGATCCTCAATGTAGTCTGTTCAATAATCCGCAATTATTAATTAATACTTAATTTCAGTCATTTAGAACTGCGATTTGACAAGCAGTGAACCGGTAGACGGGTCCATTCCAGGGATCACTGTTACATAGATGCAAAGGCGGAATAGTAATATTGAATTCGAATAACTTATAATAATACTAACACAATCCTGTTTATAAAAATAATGTAATAATTGTCAACTGTACCGACAAACGCTTCGGTTTCGTTCTATTTCAGTAATATTATCTTTGATATTTTTCGAATTCAACACTGCAAATGGAATGCATTGCGATCGTAGAAAGCCAACATTTTTAAAACATTCTAACTATTCTGAATACAATTGTAACGGCTTTGATTATACCAGTCGAGCATGTCTATACAAATAAGGTTATTAGCGATTTTTTTCCGAATTACTATCAAAAGCACGATATCCGGTAATTACCGAATTATTATTTTGGTAATATTTACGACAAAATTTAAACGTATAGTAATTTTAATTCTGTCATGGCTCATATTACGTATAAATACTATATTGAGAACGATAATAATATACGAAAAATATAGTCTGTTAAGAATTGTACAACATTCACATAAATTTGAATACATTATTTGTAATAGCTTATGCGCTCGTATGCGTAATACTATAATTAATGGATATTTCTAAAGTGTTTCTTTGTATTTTTATTTTTTCTGTAAATTATCGGAACCCATACATTTTGATGTTTTTTTTTAACATGAAGAAAAAAATACATTTAAATATTAAATTTACCTGTCGTCTTCACAATTGCATTGAAAATGTATTGACATTGAATAAATTATAATCAATAATAAAGATATACATTCTATAGTTAAATATTTTAACGGTAAATATAATTTTTTTTTATATTTGTAGTTGACTAATGTAAAATGAAAATGTTTGTTTAGAGTATAAAGAAGGATGGAAAAAAAATATGCATCGCTCGGATTTTTAAAAAACTTTTAAAATAATAATTATTAATCGAAAACAAGATTTACAAGAAAAAAATGATAAAACACGATAAAATACGTCAAATGAATAATGCTATCATACAGTTAATAATCCGTACTATTAGGGTTTGCACAAAAAATCGTCTCAACAAGTTTTGTACTCAACAGTTGAAGTTTCACGTGTAGTTATACAACAATCAGCTCCAAGACGATAAACGATTGTTACAATTTGTGTTTTGTGCGTTGGAAAACGCAATATTACTATCAAGTTTGAGCATAAATTATCTTTTGCACTCCGTCGAAATAATTAAAAGCATTCCAGTTGATAAATACACGCGTACTTATTAGATATTACTACGGGACCGGCTCGACACGGCGGAGTCCGCGGGCTTATTGCGCAGCAACAGGTCTCTGCGACGGAGGTCACCGCGCCGACGTAATATTTTATTAAACGCGTGTAAATCGAGTAGTAACAACAATCGTAACCAGTAACTATAATAGTAATCGTAATAATCGTAATAATAATAATATTATTGTTATAGTTGGGGCCGTTCGTAACCGCGAATTATTGGCGTCGAAGCGACAAGGACGGTACGTGCTGTCGCGGATTGCGCAACGTGTTGTCCGCGTGTCTTTATCAAATGTTTATCATTATTATTATCGTCGTCATCATCACCGCATCATCGTAGCGATATTGCCGCGGACGTTTTGCGTTTTGTCGCCGCGCAACATTCCGTAGTACGTACGCTCGCGCGCTAGCAGGTGGTCGCCCGTCAACCGTTCTCCGCGTACGCGTACCGTCCGTCCGTTCGTTCACGCGACAACCCGCCCGGTACAGCGCTCGGATCACGTTTTCAACTCGTTCGCGACTCGCGACTCGTTTGTTCCAACTCGGTAACGACACGTAACTGCTGTTCCGGGATATCGGCACAAGGGGGCTCTATTCTCGTACCGGGCCGTTTTAACGTCCACGCGATCGCAACTGTCGCACGCCCGTCTGTCCTCGCTTCGCGGCTCCTGCGCCGGTCCACGTAGGCCGAGTGTGCGCGATCCACCATCAGGCGCCCATGGCGGCCCCCTCGACGACGTCGCTGCCCGTGGACGTCGCTGCCGCGCTGGGCAAGTCCAGCGATGGCCGCTGCAGCGAGGACCCGCCCGACATCGAGGCGAGTATGTCGCGCCGACCGTCTCTACGCACGCATGTGTGCGTGGACCGCACCGCCGCGTGCGCGGCATCCGCGTACCGTGTGATCTCCGGCTTCGTCGCGGGGCACGGTCGAATCGCACTCTTCCCGTCGAACTGCGCTCGGGCTCGAAAAAAGGGATTTAAACGAATACATCACGAGTTATGCGGATGGCGTTAAACGTTCAGAAAACACTCGTTTCCCTTCCCACTTACATGCTTACAATGACTGACAATAATTCGGTGATTGTTGGCTTGGTTAAAAACGATTTTTTTTTTTACGTACCATTACCTATGTTGATGTACCTTTTTTAAATCTTAAAATCGATAAATAATATATAGTTTAATCAGAGCTCAAGGTGTAGATGAGCTGGGCACTTGCCTAGAACGATACTTTAGTAGGGGCGGCACTTGTCGAATAAGACTCGTACATTTTTTTTTATTTCTATCGATATCCGAAATCAGTTCTTGAATTCATAAATATAAAAACAAGTTGATAAAATTATACCTCAATACTTATTTGATATTAAGAATTATATTGACTTAACTTGTAACTTATGCAACAGTTGAGAGAAGTTTAGTAACTTAAAATATTAAAAAATGATTTACGATCAAATACGTCTCAATCGTTTTACTGTGAGCGAAATCTCTGAACAATTAGACATAAACTTATACAGAGATTTGTTTCACTAAAAGTAAGAAAAGTTAATTTTTAATAAAATTAAGTTTGTTTTATTTTATTAATATTATTATAATAATAATTTATTTGAATTTTTAAGATTATGACAAAAGTTTAGTTATTTGTTAGGTTAAAAGTGAAATTATTTTTTATATAACTTAATAAATTTGGCGATAAAATCAAAAATATACAAAAATATTCCGATAGTTCCAACACTACTTGTTATTTCTTTAAAATAAAAATATTTAAATATTTTTCGTATAGGTACGTTACATAAAAATTGAGAAAAGAGTGATGTTAAAATTAGAGCTGAACATTTAAGCTGGCTCCGAGTATAATTAATAATATAAATAATTAAATATTTGTCATATATTTTTATCATTGTTCTAATTTTTTTTTCATCTCATTTCAATTGTTTTTTGTAGTGATTAAAAAACTAAGTTGAAAAACTCTAATCTGGTAATAGGCTTTTGAGCATATAAGTTAATATATTTTTTTCAATATCATTTATTTCTTTCTGGTACCATGTTGTTGAAGGTCTTATGTCAGTATTCTAAAAGTATATATTTGTAATTTTGCTGTAGCGTTCGTATACGTTAGATACGAAATATTTTTAACGATCTTATAAAGGCATTTTTTTTTAAAACGTGTACAGTGGAAACAGAACATGTTTCGTGTATAAGTCTTGTACACGAAAAATGTTCACCTATGTCCAACAACATGATTACAACTATTTTTGTGTACGTAGACGTGAACGTTCATAGTGAAAACCCGCTTATACGAGAAGTTTTATTTCCTCTTTTAAAAGAGTGCAGTTTTACTACTTTTTACTTTTTTCAATCCTAGTGCAATTTGTTATTTTTTTTTTTTTTTTGTGATAATAAATTCAATTCGACCATCCCGGGCGTTACAGCTGATACTATTACCGGAAAACGCTAATGTATTCATATTGTGTTTCAACGTGTATAGAAACAAGACCGTAATAACGGGTGTTTAAAAAAATAAATAAAAATTATCCGCTTTGTAACACCGCGTTTGGGTGCGGATACCATTAGTAAATTAGGTTACGTATCTTTCTCAAAAGCGACGGTAAAACTCAAATCACTTCAAGTAGGTTGCAAGAAAACCGTCTGCTGTGCGATTCCAATACCTACTAACTTTGTCGGAATAATAATATTAGAATAAATAATATTGCGCAATTTTTTTTTTTTTTTCGTTAACTTCATTTGATTTGTGTTTTGGAAATTTCCCCCCCCCCCCCCTCGTTAAAGCAATTAATCGTCAAGAAAACCAATCAATTACCATCCCGTCACGTCTTCGTCCATTTTTTTCTATCGTACGAATAAAACACTAAACAAATAATACGATTACTACGGGACTGGCTCGGTGTCGAATGACAATAACGATGAGGGTCTTGTATATAACAATAGAATGGATGATGAAACAAACGAATCGAAGTCGATAAATGCCGACTTCGGGAAGAGAGAACATCGGTATTTTTTTATTCTTGATCATATGTTAATGCGCCTACAGTGCATTATAAAAATATGTATAGTTTGACCCTTCGAGTTTTTTCATTTACCGCCGACCGTGGGCCGCAATGATTAACGGTTAGAAAAAATGTTGTTGTGTTATTATTATTATAGTACGCGCGATGCGAGCGTAATGCAAATAAGGAACAAAGACGTGCGTTTTATTTAACATGTTCTTCGCGTACTTTTTTCGTCGAAATATTTTTCAGCTATGGCGTTAACATCATTAATCGTGTATCAATATTGACCATATAGTCAACAGACGGTGGCATCAGCCTTCAACAATTGTCATACGATGTTCATTATTTTCGAATCATTCAAACACAAATGATCATAACGCATTAGGTTTCCCCATGCATTCGATCATCAATTAAGTGAAACACTCGTATTGTTTCGCTTAAGTAAATATTTTTATCACTATTATCAATTATTATTATATTGATCGAAACGTCGACCGTCAATTGCATGGCCAATAAGATCTGTTGGATTTCTAAAACTTATTTTCGTATACTAAATTCGCATGAACAATATTATGGCAACCTAAAGTAATATTCCATGTAAGTTCATCGACGAGTCTTTAACGACCGAGTTGTCGAAATGAACACAAAATTATCTTCGTTCCCCTTGCAAAAATCTTCAAAGGTCAACAAAAGCAGTATTTGAACAGCTGTGTCACATTCGGTCCGGGGATTAGCTTTATTTATGTTCGGGTGCAATATTAATGGCATGTGATTGTTAAGGGGACGCGGTCGGCTGCTATGCGGTTGACTGTCACAATCGTTCTGCGTTCACTTCGTTCTCGGACACTTAACATATTAAATTGAATCACAGAAAACAAAAATTGAATATAAGTTCAAGTAGTAGTTTTCGAGTAAATATAAAAAAAGTAACTCATAAAAATTTAATTATTAAAAACCGATAAATTATTACAAATACAAGAGATAATGTTTTGATTATTGTATTCGCTATTTTAAAACTACATGTGTTTATAATACGTTTAAGTTTAATGTTTACGACAAAATGAGTTGAAGAACTTTGTTAGCTTTATTCTATACGTGCACTGAATAGGTCATGTAATATACGTGATAAAAATGGCAACATAGAATCGACCACGTCAATGTATTTTGTAAAATGTTAGATAATATTCTATGTTGATTTAAACGAAAACAAGATTTTTTCACGTACATTGATTATTACGAATCAGATAAATTATCACAATGTGATAAGTCATATAATAGTTCAACGGGAAGAGATAAGCGACACCTCGAATTTTTTAACCTGTACAAATAAATTTACGATTTTTATTACATTTTTCTTAAATTTTTCGTATGTTTATATAATATTATCACGATAAATACTTAATGATTACTGTTGTAGAAAAAGATTATAGATGACTTATAAGAATTGATACACTTTTGATGACAACTTATAAGACTTACATATTTGGAATTATTCGTGAAGTGGTTGTGCATTTCTGATGTCAATTTATCTTCAAATATTGTGTGTGATGTCGGTTTTCTGTATTGGATTACTGCTTGGCTTTTTACGGAAAAGTCGTAGTAAAAAATTATTACAAAAACTACAAAACGTTTAACTTCAAATAAAGTTTTATGTATCTTTTTAAGCCATGATGCCAAATGTGTTTCTGGTTAATCCGATCCTTCACCCCGTTTATACGCGACTGTTGTGTGTGTGTGTGTGTGTGTGTGTGTATCTGCGGTCATCGCAACGATGTCCTATGTAAGAATAATACCAGTAACATTTATCATAAGTCATTTACTATTTTGAATATTGTTGTCATTGAACTTCAGTCAACCGACGATAAGTATTATCATAACAATAGCGATAAAACGCTCTATTGTCAGTAATCGTTTATCGATAACTTTAATAATAACAAATATTTATAATAACAAAACTCTAAAAATGTTCGGCTTGTTCAGGAAACTTTCTGAAAACTATCTTTCATATCTTGTTCAGGCAATAACAAAAACAAAAAAATAAAAATCAGCTAAATCAGTTAAGCCGTTCTCAAGTGATGCTCTTATATACATTGAGCAATTTATTTTTATTTATATATATACATAGTGGCACTGGTAGTGGCGTTAAACTAAGTAAAAAAAAAAAAACGTAGTAGCCATAAACAAATATTAATAAGAAGCTAGAATTGTACCATGGAAAAATCGTGCTAATTTGTATAATCCATCGGCTAGCTCTATAGGGCAAACGGCTGAACATATAAGTTCGTACAAGGTATCAATCGATAAAAAATGTTGTGCATACGAGAACAAGGAAACTCACAACCATATTGGTTTAATGGCCTAAAAGTTACAATCAAAAATGTTCAAGTACTCTTAGGTCCAATTTTTCGTATGCAACGAAAATATGGTAAAATGTAATATGGCCCTCGGATCAGCCACTTATCCATCACACTATTTTCGTTCCTGCGGCGATACCGGATGATCTACGGACGATTGACGACTGCACTGATTTTTTAAAAAAAATAGCTGATATCATACCAAAAACACTTTATTATAACTTCGCGTTAAAAAAAAGCTAAGTTTAAAAAATTCAATGTGACATTGAAGTGACATAACTAAATCTGATATAACATTTAATTTAATTTAGTTTGATCATTATTAAACATTTAAAAGGCGTGATATAATTTGGAAACTAAGTAAAATGCGATCGTTTAACATTACAAATACTTATAACAGACAATAAGATTAATTGTAAAGTTAAACACGTAATCAATATATTGTTTACATGGCAGGTCGTTAAAGTAAAATTTAACTTCACAATTAATCTTATTTGTCATCATAGGTATTTGTAATATTTAAAATAAGCATTTTACTTTGTTCCTGTTTTTTATCACGTACCTATATTAAAGGTTTAATTATTAATAAATGTAATATCATTATTTGAATTTTTTTAAAATTGGCTTTTTTTGCAGACGAAATTACAACGAAGTGTTTTTGGTATGATATATATTATACTAAACATTCATATTTATTATGTATAACTATGAATTAAGTTATTGAAAACATTATAGAATTAATTATAGTTAACTACAACAGTCTAGATCATATGATTAAATTATGAAAAAAAAACGATTTTTTTTTTCAAAATTACAATTGTTAGGTTTTTAAACACTGTCATGTAATAATTTTGGCATTTGTCGATTTTTTTTTCTACCAACAGGAGTTGCTCCGGTTGAACCCGAAACCGTTGGCCGGCTGCCAGTGGTCGACTTCAGTCAACGGGTCTAGAAAAGGAGTAGGACCGACGGTTTCTGCTGGATCCGGACTGGCTAGGGCCCGGGCTACGGTTAAGCCATCCGTTGCCACGGTCCAAGACCGACATCACTACAAGCGTAACTCGTCATACGCTGAAGTAAGCACATTTTTTGCGAATCATTCTGCTGGCCAGTGGTGGAACTAGATTCTTGGAGGCCCGTGTAAAAAATTTTCGTGGCAAATTTCTAAGACAGAATTTTAAAAAAAAAACTAAGAATTTTGTTTTTCTCACGTAACATTATTATTCTTTAATATATATATATTTATATATGTTACCGGTAATATGGATAATCCGGTATTTTGCAAAATGCCTAGGCATTATATAAAATTCCAAAAATCACTCGGCAATATACATAATACGAGCTTATTCTAGGTATTATGTATAATGCCGATCGTGGAGTAGGCAATATGAAGAAAAAAAAAACAAAATTGGGCATCGCCTAACCTAATTGACGACTTTACTTATCGTTTATCATAAATGTGCGTTCACGATTTAATGCAACAAATATTAACATTCTTTTACTACTATTATAATAATAATGAGATACAATATTGAACATACTAATAATTTTATTACAATATCGTTATTTTTCTCGTCGTTTTGGTGTTGCAACTATGTATACGATTTATATGAAGTCAAATTTTTATAACAAACTACAAAATTTTTTTTTTTAAATTTGGTCACTAATACTAGTTTTTTATCTGATGAACAGTATAATGAGTTGATAAAAATTCAATCCACAAGAATTGGCCAAGGATTTTTAAAATGTGTTTGTAAGTCCGTGTCAAAATAAAAAGTGTATTTTCCTTAAAAATAACATTTTGTGCACTTCAAAATATCACTTTTCTACAACATGATATAATAAGTGAATAGTAGTTTAAGTAAAATATTTATATAATAGTAATAATATAATAATAGGGGATTCATGGGATTCATAAAATGGATACCATCCGATTTTAACCTCACCCCTCCTATTAAAGCCCTTTATTTTGCTCTCTAGTACGGTCTCAGCTTGAGTACGGATCAGTCTTATAGGGCTCCCACGCTGCCTCAGACTCCGCCACCATTGAGCGAGTACAAAGGCGTTTTCTATTCTACACCGGTTATGTACTAGGTATTCTTCACCCCTTACACGATTATTCTCCAGTTCTCCGTTAACTTAGCCTACTAACTCTGGCTGATAGAAAATTAAATAGCAACTTTAAGTTCCTTCAAAATCTTATTGGTGGTATTTCTGATGCTCCATCACTCCTCTCCCTTATAAACTTTCGCGTCCCTTCTTGTCCTACCCGTTCTACTGCTCCGTTTTCTATTCCTAAACGATTTACTAATTATAGTCAGAATAACCCGATAGACAGACTAATGCGTCTAGCTAATAACCACTCTTCATTTTTATTATAATTCACCCACCTAATTCTGTTTCACTTTTACTGACTCTATATATATTATATATACTATTAGACTATACTATACTAAATCCAACTACTGTACTTTGGGCCTAGCCCGTATTTAATTTATAAATAAATAATAGATAAAAATTAAATTTTGTCTGTAATATGAGTAATAATGTATAATAATTATAAGAATCTTAATGTAATACAACATATAATTAAATGTTTTGTACTTTGCCTAAAAAAAAAAAAAAATTGGCATTTAAGTAAAGTCGTTGGTAATAGGCGATGCCCAATAATTGTTTGTTTTCTTCATATTGCCTACTCCACGATTGGCATTACACATAATGCCTAGATATTTTATAAAATACCTAGGTTACAAGTAAAATAATATTGAAAATCATATGTTTTATTTGCACTGCCTGAAATGGATCAGCAATTTGCATAATGCCTAGGCATTTTGCAAAATACTTGAATTATCCATATTGCCAGTAACACATATACGAGTATATATATATCTATATATAAAAATCTTGTGTCACACTATATATTGTGTTTGTGACCATACTCTTCCGAAACGGCTGGATCGATTTTAATGAAATTACGTATACACATTTGGTAGGTCTGCAAATAGGTTCTTATACGTTTTTTATATTCTTAAGTGCTATTGTTTAATAAATCGTAGTTTAATTTAATAATTTTTGTCGGGTTAGCTAGTTATATTATATATTATTACTTTTTTTCTAGGATATTTTATTTAAATCGAATAAATGCATAAATACCTACCTATCTTCATATTATACTAAGATCTAATAACTAATTGATCATGCTAGATTACTATTATTCTGAACCTCCATAACTAATTATACAATGGTTCACTTGCAAAAATAAATGGAAAGCTAAAAACTAAAAATAAACTTTATGAGGTTTTTAGTTAAATTTTTTAAATTTTAATGTTCATAATTTTCTAAGTTAAATCGTTTGAGGCCCCTTTTATGCCGAGGCCCGTGTGAAATCACATCTTTATCTATATGTAGCTCCGCCACTGCTGGCTGTAATGCTGTACACGTTACATGTGTATTATATTATTACCGTTTCGCATATACTCGTAATATGTACATACCAGACAAAGAGACGAGCAACTTTTTCAACACTTTAACGAAAAGTTGCAAGGACATAATTAAATTTTACGCGTTCACTTAGCCGAACGTACAGGTTTCGGTCTAATTTTTAGCACACGACTCGCTATTAACGGACCACAGTTGAGTAATAGATGATAGATAGATGATAGTAATAGATATGATTGAAAATACAGTATTTTAAATACCGAAAACGGTAGTTTTTATAAATATTATGCATTGTGACGTTATGTGAACATTTGATAATTTTTGTTTTCGTATCCGCGGCTAAGGACACCAAAGGTACAGTGGACGGTTGTGCCAGTGGCCTGTGGAACCGGTGGTGGACCGATGTCAAGCCCAGCACACTGCGTGACGGCGAAAGAGCGGCTGTGCGCGAAGCCCGCCGCTGTCTCAAATGCGCTCATGCGCCGTGCCAACTGTCGTGTCCCACGTCGATCGACGTCAAATCGTTCATCACCAGCATCGCAAATCAGGTACGATTACGAATTATGTTTGGTCATATTTTTCTTTCGGATTTGGTCGGAATCGCGTATAATTGGATGCGTATAATTAATAGTTGCGAACTCGCACCAATCGGTAACTTATAACGACGACGAGCACTTCTGCACCAGCCTCATTATCCCATTCATATGTCCATGAAATAATATGTTTCAATAGATCATCGGAACTCGATAAGAACGCAAAAAAACAAAATATCGAATACGCCTAAACGTCGAAAAAATAAGTAAATCAGTTGAGTAAACTAACGGTTTTTCGTTGTCCAACAGCATTTATAAAATATCGTGTACTTATTTTGTCTATACGATTTTGATTCTGTTTTCTGTTAACTTCATAACGACTGAAACGAACAAGTATTATATTTTATGTAACAAAGTATAATACCTTATAAATGAGGTTGGAAATTAATAAGAAAAAAAAATTGGGACCTTGGATTGAAGAAAGATGTTTATATTCGTATGAACTTGAATTTGACAGTGATACTATCATATTTGAATGTCGTTATGTGCTTCAATAAAATTTAAATCAAATCTCACATGTTCACATTATTTACTCCGTCATTATTCATAGTATTTGTATACGATTATAATTATATTATGTTCATACTATTATATAACAAATTGTAATCTCGAAAAAAAAACAAACGATTAATATAAATAACTTTGATTCTTTTTAAAACAATTATACTGTATTTTGTTATTCGAACTAAATTACGATAATTTTATAAAACAATAATAGCAATGTTCAGTTCGTTGTATACACTGTTCAAATAAAACTAATAGTATTTCATATTAATTACTTAAAATTAATTTAAGTATTATTATTATTATTAGCATTAGTAGTAAGAATGAATCATAATACTTTTTACTTCAAGTACAATGTAAACATAATATTGACGACTTAAATAACATGTTTTCAAAAGTAAGATAGAAACAGGGCCGATTTAGGAATTTGAGACCAGAGGGCAACAATAAAAAACGCATCATTATACCAAATACAAATGTCTGCGGGTTGAAAAAATCTTTCTGAAGACAAATGAAGAACAATTCGTTGCTGGTATATACAAAATTATTCCAAGTGCAATGTCAACATAAGGATACATTATTTGTAAATCTTTAGATCTATCGACAGTACTCGGCCGTTACCGAGTATTTGTGTGTGTGTGTGTGTGTCGTAGTGCTCTGCATGGTCCGGTCTTAATCAGTCCGGTCCTAAAATATAAAAATTATTGAATCGTCGGTTTGGTCTGGTTCAATAATTTTTAGGAGTAGTTTGGTCCAGTCCTCAGATCAAATGCGTTATTTTTAGTCCGGTTCGGTTTCAAAAAAATAATATGAAAATCAGTTCGGTCCCATTCATGGTAATTAAAATCTAAATACAAATATTGTATTTAAATAAATAAAACGAAAAAACCTACAACTTTAGGTATATATTTATTTATAAAGTCGAGTAGCCGGTCCAGTGTAATATTAAACGCATCATATGGTACGGTCTTGGCTAATACAGACTGAAGGGATCAGTACATTTGCCAGACACCCTAATTATCCGACACCATTTGCCCGACACTACACTTGCCCGACACTAGATTTACTCGACACTACGTTTGCCCAACATTACATTTGCTCGACAGTCTCAAATTATATTATAATTTATTATAAATATGTGTGAAAAATTATTAAAAATTTCAATAAAATATTATATTATACCTATTATGTTATTTACAAATTAATGTTAAATTTTAAAATTATGCAATTAATAATTGTGTCAAAAATTAATAATAACACAAACATTATACTACTTACAATTTAATGTTATGAACGATTTTTATGAATATATCTCGAATAGCGGTAAAATACGATTGAGAACGGAACGACTGAAAACATTATTTTTGGTAACACGATTGAGAACTTAATAATATAATATACTATACTATACTTAATACTTAGAACCTTTTCACATAGAACGATAATATCCATGATAAAATATTCGTCTGATTTAGTATTTTTTTTAATTATTGTATATTAATAAATAACAATAATAATAAAATATTGTATATCAGTATTACGTACAGTAAAAATATGTAAAATATATTGTCGGGCCTCGAGTAAATGTTGCGTCGGGCAAACGTAGTGTCAGGAAAATGTAGTGTCGGGCAAACGTAGTATCGGGCAAATTAAGTGTTGGGCATTCGAGTGTCGGTCCAATATATCAGACCCCAGACTGAACCTTAAGGACTGGTCCATAAACGGTCCAAAATGTTTTAAGATCGTATCGACAGTTCGATCCACGGTCTAAGTGTGGTCCGGTCCGACTTCGTTCCCCTGGTGAAATTTGAAGTCCGGTCTGGTCCTTAAAATAACGGACCATGCAGAGCATTTGTGTGTCGTGACGTCGTGATTGGCCATATATATATTTTTTTTGAGATACATTTTTTATTTTGTAAAAAAGTTTCACTTCAAAAATATTAGATCATTAAATATTGAAAATATAAAAAAATTATCCGCCCTCTTATATTCAGCTGCCCGAGGCAACAGCACCCTGTAGCTTTCCCCTAAATACGGCCCTGGATAGAAACATTATATGTATACGTAATTATCAGAATTTTTTTTTTGAATTTTATTTAATTTGTTTTGTCAATGAACGATTTCAAAAATTGATTAAGATATTGATTACGTATTTTAAGCTAAAAAGTTAATATAAAAAACTATTAAATTCAACTATAAATAATGGAGTTATTGATTAATTAAAGTAAATTAAATCACTCGAATTATATGATCTTGGTTCGAGTTGAATTACATTTGTTAATTGGGAAAGTTTATAATCAATTTCTAAAATCAAGGCTTGTAGATAAAATATTATTTCCACATATTTCAATTGTAGCTAGATCGATTTAAATAGTCGCCGAGATTAATTGTTATTCTCTATCCTAACCTACCCGTATGAAATTAAACGCCGTATATATGTATACGGGTAGTTTAACACGACCGACGCGTAGATGAAATCATTAAGAGAACGCCACACCCGCGTGTGTTGTCTCCGTCTGACATGCGTACAACATATAAAAATTTGCGTTCAATGATTCAAATGTAGTGATGTTAGCTTTATTATTAGAGTAAACTAATCTATAATCAAACTTTAAGGGAAGAACATTATCTGTATTTGATGGTCGGTTTTTTCCGACATTTTAGTTTTCAAGCGTGTTATGAGTATGTAAAATACAGTATTTAAAAAAACATCATAACTCGCTAAGAAATTAAAATTTCGGAAAAAATCGACCAACAAAACACAGATTATGTTCTTCCCTTAAAGTTTGATTATAGGTCAGTTAACTCTATACACTCAATATACTAAAGCTAACATCACTAAATTTGAATCACTGAATGCAAATTTGCTATGTTGTACGTATGTCAGACAGAGACAACACATGTGGGTGTGACGTCCTCTTAAAGGGAACACTGATCAAACGCTAATTACGCAGCGATCGATTTCGAAGTGACGCAGGACGCGTCGATCGGTTGACGCGGCATATTTTTTATATTGTTCTATAATCGCTATGCATATGGATTGTTCTACAGAATTATTACGGAGCCGCCAAGACTATTTTGTCGGACAACCCGGTGGGCCTGTCGTGCGGCATGGTGTGCCCGACGAGCGAGCTGTGCGCCGGCTCCTGCAATCTGGCCGGCACCGACGGCGGTCCCATCAACATCGGAGGTCTGCAGCAGTTTTGCTTAGAAGTATGTGCACAATTCCCCCTCCCCTCCCGTACATCAAGATGATAAACAATTACTGAAAAGCGATAATTCTTTCGCTACTGACCCGACTATTACTTTTGGTGACCAGTTTTTAATTATACATAAACGATTAGACGTTAAACAGGAAAATCATAACGTTTTCCTCGAACTGTTGTTATCGCTTTCGTCTCTCTCCGTCTCATTCTTCTAATCGTTTTCCATACCCTTCTCATTAAGACTGTTAATTTGCGCGTAAACGCTTCGTAAGATCGCGTCTCATATTTTTATCGTCCATAACATAAATATTGTTTTCGCTATTCAATTTTCTCTTTTAGTCGGAAATCTATTTGGTGTCCGTTCAATAGTTATTTCTAATTATTTTTACAGACGAGTATTTTTCGTTCAGACTATCAATGTAATTTATTGTGTTACTATATTCAGAACCATGCCTAGACCTTTTTTCAGGTGGGGGGAGGTAAATTTTTTTACTGCCATGTATTTCAAATTTATTTGACCGGATAATAATTTTGGTAATAATTAATTTTGTAATACTAGATAGATCGACAATGGAATATATAAATAACTCTGGCAAATGTTAATGATATTAAATTTAAATTGTATACAAATATTAAGGAATACTTTTTTACGTTAAAATTTCGAGGAGAAATGTCGTATTTGCTTACAATAAAACAATAGTTGATGTTTGTTGAAGGTGTTTATGGAGATGGCCGTTCCGCCTTCGGAGGTGTTGTCGGACAGCGACGACGAGAGCAGCGACGAAAACGAGCACGGAGATCGACAGGCTTTGAAAGCTCGAGGTCAGAGCAAAATGGCCCCGATAGCCGTGGTGGGTGCTGGTCCTGCAGGGCTGACTTGCGCCACATACCTGACACGACTTGGATACCGAAACGTTACGGTCTATGAGTCGGGCGAGTACGCGGGTGGCCTTAGGTACGTACCAACACCACCACCTATTATACTGTTAATTTCAAGTGTACACTTGTAACATGCCTTCGGTTACTGGGCGTTAAGAATGTTAAATCACTAAGTGCTAAGTCTGAGACAAGTTCAGCAAATAAACTTGTAAAGTATACCTTCTATGGTATTGATGATAATTTATTTTAACACTTAGAAAAAAATCAACAGTTACAATTATCATAATGACTGATATAAGTAGAGCTTCCGCATTGAATAGCTGGACACGTCTGAATTTGGTGTTGATTCGCAGGCCTTTTATATGTTGATAAGTGATCTCTTTTTGGCGCGCTCCTTATTCAATTACGTGTTTTTGATTGATTACAATTGTTTATAGTTATTACTTGTTACAATTAATATTAATTACATTTCATATTTCATTATATTTAACAAAACACGCGTCTATTTCTAATTTTTCTGGAATTATCTTAAATTGCAAGTATACACTTTTTTTTATTAGATTACGCTCGTGCGTTTACAATATGTGTTTTTAGTAATTGATTTAATTAATTAAAAGAATACCAAGAACAAGGTTGTTTACATATGGTACAACAAGTTTAACAATTCGTAGTTTTTTATAAGATAGGGCTTAAAAGTCTACACTATGATTTTCTCTGTAATTTGAATATAGAAAAGAGCATATTATAATGTTGTTTTTATGTTACATAATAATTTATGTTTATTAAGTAATAAACAGCATATTACACACTGTGTAAGTCTATGGTTCGCTTGAAATTTTTTTGAAATTTCAAATGTTTGTTTATAAATATTAATAATAATAATATGAGTGATTTAACTGCTTGATTATAAAACAATGAATATTTCAATTATTTTTATACAAATAGCAAGGTATCTAAAAGTTGCGAGTATGATGTCTCTGTTGTTCAGAGTTATAGTTTTATTAAAATATTATTGTTACCTCGTTCTCGTGCAACATATACGAGAAAGTTAAACACATCCTTGAAATCACTCGATTGTTTACCCATTACGTTACAGTGCCTCAGAGATACCAGAGTATCGGTTACCGTGGAAGGCCGTCCGCTGGGAAATCGAGCAGATGGTGGAATACGGTCGCGGCGGAGTTCGGCTGGATTACGGACGTCGGCTATATTCCGCAAAAGCCCCTGGTGGTAGACCCGGCGATTTTACACTAAAAGTATGTAAATTATTACTATTAATAAAGCATCGCTATAATGCACGTTTACAGTAGTGCAAACTACCAGCTTTTGAACTTTTAACTTCAAAGTGACCTTTCTTAAAAATTTAACCCAAAACGAACGAGTGTACCACATATTTTTTTAGTCCTTTACCGTGCGCAGAACCAATGTAGTTTTCTATTACGTCGACACCGGTCGAACCTCTATTGCTTCGCTATTTAAATATATTTTCATTTATTCACTAATTTATCGAAAAACGAATTGCAGCAGTGACAGTATATTTTCTACATGACCTCATCGCAACGGTCGATGTTAAGTAGTAACTCGGCAAACATAAATTGTTCCTCATATCACTGACCGGCATAGATGACGCTTAAAAACTTTCGTGCCTTAACGTTCTAGACGTAGGTCTGAATACATTCGATTCCCAAACGATCCACAGTGCCGGCGTGGCGGTGCTGTCGTGTCGAACAACTGTACGGAGACACCAATTGATTATTATAATTCGAAATCAACATACACGTGTCATTTCGGTTGAACCAATCGATCGCTGCGACAGTCTAACACAGTCTAACACAGTTTAACACATTTTGTAGTTGTAAAAACCGGACAGATTGAATTATATTACACGTATAAAGTAATTGACGCGCATACACTTATCAGTCAACATCAAAACAAACCATGATTGACTTTGATCGGTCTGGTTCTGATTTCGCTCCGAGTGAAATAGAGAAGACAAAAGTCAGCGGTTTGTTACACGAAATGTTATTTTCGTGTCGATTGCAGACATCTTAATTTTTTACTGTATTATTTTCCGCACGTTTTTTATTGACATTTATTTCACCGTTCAACGAAAAAAAAAAAACGCCATGAGACCGATACGATAATATTTGTCTTCGTCAGGACCAGTGGCGGATCGGCTGAAGGATTGGTTTTTTTTTCTCCAGGATCTGATCGACCGGCCGGACGGGGCGCAGGCCGTTATGGTGTCCGTCGGACTGCCGGAGCCACAGCTTCCGGCCGATCTATTCCACGACGTCGGGGCCGACGGCACGGCCGCGGACGCTGAACGGCTGGGAGTGTACACGTCCAAGTGGCTGTTGCGCCGGGCCTCGGGCTACGCTAAGAGGTTGCCCGCGGCCGATGAACACCTGCAGCCGGGTGGGTGTTGTGGCGGCCGCAGCGGCTGTGGCTCGCCGTCGCGACCGTCCGTCGCGGTGGTGCCGCCGGATTTCCGGGGCAAGACCGTGCTGGTGTTGGGCGCCGGCGACACGGCCATGGACTGCGCGACGGCCGCGCTCAGATGCGGCGCGCGCCGGGTGCGCGTGGTGTTCCGGCGGGGCACGCCGGACGTGAGGGCCGTGCCGGAGGAGCTGGAGGGGGTCATGCGTGAGCGTTGCGAACTCGTGCCGCATTCACAGCCGGTGCGGTTCCTGTTCCGCGGCGCCGGCGCCGGTGCCGCTGCCGGTCGCGTGCGGGCCGTGCAGTTCCGCAGGACGGACGTGGACGACCTGGACACTCCGGACTCTCAGGACGACGAACATCGATCGGCCGACGAAGACCTGTTCGTGTTGCGCGCCGACTGCGTCGTGTCCGCGTTCGGGTCGCGGCTGCCGCCGGAAGGTGAGTTTCGCCCGGGAACACCCGATAAAATGTGTTTATCATATTTTTATCGACGGTTTGTTATGTTCGTCGTCAACGATATCGTGCGTAAGGAATGCACGAGTAGTTGATGTACGTACTATAATTGTGCCGGGTAGTCGTAGAAACTTTTCGGTTTCGAAAATAGTTTAACGTTTTTTAATAATTCATATATGTTGCGTAATAGTGAAGTCATTAAAGCCTAGGACGGATTTAGGTATGTGGTGGTCCCTGGATGGAACGCACTCTGGGGAGACCCTTTTACATAAATGAGAAAATACATTTTTCTGCTTATTAAATTACAATAATTATCATATTTATTAGTGGTAACAACTTATTATTTTATATAATAATTATATATTTATAATATATATATTTATTAATAATAATTTTATATAATTACATATATTATTAGTTAGATAAAAATTAAATTTCAAACGTTCAAATAAAGTTCTATAAATTATTTAATTGCATATATAAATAGAATAATTTTGTTTGTAATCTAATAAGAATATCATGAAATTTTGATGGTCTTTTAGCTGAAGCCAGCTCAGCTCTCTTCTAAATCCGGCCCTGATTAATGCTATTGCCCAACACATATGATGCGCAGTCAAAGAAACTATAAATATTGATATAATTTTTATCTTTGCTGTTTAAATATTAATATATAATAAATAAACAAATAGTTTATATAAATTAATCAATTATAAGAACTTAGTCTAAAGTGTTTTTATAACTGTAAAGAATGATCGGTTTCGAAATAAAAATGCATCATCAGGTATACACAAAGTTAATAAAATTGTGACTGAATATGAAAAATTTAAATATTCATACGCAACTCATAGTTGCGATTTTATTTTATTTTTTTCTTATTCGGTCGCAATTTTATTAAGTCTATTTATACCAGATATAATAATAAGTATATTTACGAATATAATAATACTCCGGACAAAACTTTTATTTATTTACTTGTACACATATACTCGTATGTACACATACATTATTTGTTTATTTATTTATATATTTTAATTTATGAATACGATTGTTAACCATAATGGTTAGTGGCCAAGGCCCCCCCCACTAATTTAGATAATACCTAATTTTTATTGCATTTATTTTCATTTTATTAAGCAGTCTTGGAGGCCGATAAAGAGGACTGATAACTGATAAGTTGACACAAAATTGTTCGTCAGTTTTAATATCACTAGGTATTCGGTATTTGGTTTATTTGTTTTAATTATGGTTGTAGATTCATATCATATCAACTCTATGGTCCATATACAATTATTGTGGTTTTAATTGATAAAGTCATAGTGATGACCACGGTTTAAGATATATTTCTATCTAAAGCCATGGTGATGACAGTCGTTTTATTACAGTCGTTTTATTACAGAATAGATTAAATTTAATCTATTATGTGGTTTTATGCTTTTATGATAATATTGTTGTTATTTTTTTAAAAAGTCAACAATCTGACATTGTTGAAGATATAATTAAGCTTTTCTGCATAGAACTACGGCGTGTTCAATTTTTATTTGACGATAATGATCAAGGAGTCATAATTATTTATTATTAATTATTTTTTTCATTTTATATTATACAGGCTTAATTATAACAACAACATTATATATATTTATATATACATGTATATACTTATTATATTATAGTAAATAAATCTTTTTTTTTTACTATGTGATAAAAAACAGAATTTATGGTAAGTATATTATTTTTTCGCTGTCCCCCCCCCCCCCCCCGAGAAAAATTTCTGCGGGCGGCCTTGTAACCATTTATTAATTTTTAATTTTAATTTTTATTTTTATTATTTTATCGTTGAAATATTATTGTCACTGTTAAAAATTAAATAAGAAGTTATTCGTGTATCGAAAATTAACTCGTGCGGGAGTCCCATATTTTACATCCTACATAAACGTTAAACGTTTCACTGGAACTTACGTGCTGCAACTGACAGTTTGAAGAAAACTTTTTTATTTGCTAAATAATTATCGCCAAGGGTCGCCGATAGCATACGTATCGAGAAACTAACTATTCTATAGAACAGCCTGGCCGCCGATTTAATATATGAAAATTAAAATAATCTTGGCGGCCAACTCCGTGCCGTGATATTCGATAGTGAAAACCCATGTTTTGCGCGCGCATCGCTCCTCACAGGTTCTGTATCGTAACGCCGTTGTCGTTTCAGTGGCAGACGCGTTAGCCCCGTACGCCCGAGTGGACCAGCGCACGGGACGGGTGTGCGTGGACCCGCAGACCGGCCGCTGTGAGTGGTGGACGGATGCTGACGGCGCGGACAAAAACGCGCAGGAGCTGCGGCCTCGGCCACCGGTGTGGTGCGGTGGTGACGCGTCCTACGCAACGGGACCCGGCGCCGACCCTTCGCAGACCACGGTGGAATCGGCCAACGACGGCAAGACGGCCGCGTATCACATACATCAATACTTACAGGTGAGCCTGCGCGCACAATTTACCCGGCGAAGTTCGCTTGTTGTCAGCACGTTATAAATGATTACCGGGCGAACCGGGTACACAAGTCGAGTACGTCCGCAAAAGCGAACGAAACAATTTCGAACGATTTCGCCATTCGATACGATCGAGTTGAAGATCATTCGACAGCGACGCAATAGAATGGAACATAATCGTACGTAAGCACCAGGGCCGTATTTAGGAATTTGACACTAGGGAACAACAATAAAAAACGCTTCATTATACCAAACACAAATTTCTGCGGGTTGAAAAAAATCTTTCTGAAGAACAATTCGTTGCTGGTGTACACAAAAATATTCCAAGTGCAATGTTAACATAAGGATAGATTGTTTGTAAATCTTTGGATCTATCGACAGTACTCGACCGTTACTGAGTATGTGTATGAGTGTGCCGCGATTGGCGATACATATTTTCTTTTGAGATACTCTTTTTATTTTTTAAAGAAGTTTCACTTCAAAAATATTAGATCATTAAATATTGAAAATATAAAAAATTAGCCATCCTCTCATATTCAGCCGCCCGGGGCAACAGCACCTTGTAGAGCTTCCCCCTAAATACGATCCTGGTAAGCACACTTTTTTAACAGTCGAACAGTCGATCAGCTCGAGGCGTCCCGTTCGCAACCATTTTTGTCGGATTGCACTTGGGTCGTAAAACCATTTCAAATGCAATGGTATCATTTGAATCGTCCCGCAGGAACTGTACGGTTACCGGACGGAAAAGACGGCATCGGTTCCGCGACCGCTGTTGCCGGGATTCCGGACGGCCATCGACGACGTAGACCTGTCTGTCCGGATGTGCGGATTGCATTTCTTGAACCCCTTCGGATTGGCCTCGGCACCACCCACGACGAGCGCCGCGATGATCCGTCGCGCGTTCCAGGCCGGGTGGGCGTTCGCCGTCACCAAAACGTTCGGGTTGGACAAGGACCTGGTGACGAACGTGTCTCCGCGCATCGTTGCACTAGGCGGCCACGGCGTGGGACAGACGACGGCAACGGGACACGGCGCTATCGGAGTCGCGGATCCCGAAGTGGCCAAGGCCGCGTTTTTGAACATCGAACTAATTTCGGAGAAGACGGCCGCGTACTGGTTGCGCTCCATCCGAGAGTTGAAGCACGACTTTCCACGGCACGTGAGTACATTATCATATCATCGAACGGTGTCAAACGTTATTTTTCTGACTTAGAAATCAAAAACGCACCTCCCTACCCTCTACGAAATTCGTACCTATTTTTCGTTGTCATATCACTGATGACAACTTCACATTAAAATCATTATTAATATAGAAAAATTATATTTAAATACTATTGAAAAATGACAAATAACTAGTTCTAATGTTCACACACATACATTATCAGTATACATTTTATTCTATATATTAATTATCGTAATATATTGTATTCGTATTATATTTAATATAATACGGATACAATATATTTTTGTTGAAAAGTTGTTGGATTTTTTTTATATATATTTGCAACGCGTTATACCAGAGAAAAACTTATGTAAAATAACGTCCATTACATTTTCGTACGTGTACGTTTTACGTTATGTTTACAGTGAAAATTGTAATGATATTACGTAACGCATTACTATAAAAGTAATTGCGCAGCGCGTTACTTTCCATTACGTTACTACTATAGACGTGTTTACCTGAGAGGTTAGGTTGGCATTGCCTCTTTCCCATCCCGGGAGCTTATGCCACTAACATAATCATTCCGGGACTAAAAAAGTCGTGTGGTCCGCACTCAGTATTGACAGTATCAGTAAAGTACAATACAGCAGTATTATACATGTATATCTATTTTAGTTTTAAATGTATTTATATTTTTTTGACAAACCAATGGTCATACGTTTTGCTCTTAATTAAAAAAAATAGATCATGCGATTTAAAAATTTGTTATGCTCTCCTCGGCCACCAGTCTGAACACGTCTATATGGTTAATACTATCCAACACTGCATCTTCATGTGCTGAATTCTAGATTGCTCCTGTTCTAGATATTAATCGCCAGTATTATGTGCGCGTACAGCGAGTCCGATTGGACGTCATTGGCAAAATTGGCGTGTGACGCGGGCGCCGACGCGTTGGAGCTGAACCTGAGTTGTCCACATGGCATGGGCGAGTCCGGCATGGGTCTGGCGTGCGGTCAGGTACGTATGTTGGTGAGGCAACATACGGTCGCGTTCGTTCCGTCCAGCAATCGGTGGTGGATTTAACTGTTCGCGTCGGTCGGCAAACTCACTAAGAATACACTGTGATCTGTATAAGGAACCCGTTTACAATACTTCGCGTACCTAACCTCCACTCTCTGCAAAGCTAATTAAAGCTCTGTAAAGCCATTAACTTCACGTGATTTTCCGTGCGGACAATCTATCCGCGAATCAACCGAAAGAACGACGTCCTTCTTTCGTTTTGTACGATTCGTCGTGTATACCAGGAACGGGCAACTAAAAGTAGCTGGTTGGCCAATTTTTAGAATTTTAAAATCTAGCGGGCCGGAGTTAAGAAAGCAAAAATGAAAAAAACTCATCAAAATTGACAACTTTTACGACTGGACCAATACAATAAGTGTCTAATACCATTAGCTATAATAATTACATCGATATGAATGTGCATTATATTTAGACATTATACGATTAACTGGAATTGACTGGTTCAATATTAAAGAAAATTATAATATTTACATTTTACGTTAAAATGTTACGAAGTGATTTGAAAAATATAGCACGGGCCAGATAAAAAAACGTACGCGGGCCGTTAGTTGTCCATCCCTGGTATATACTATCGTCGTGCGACCGTTTAAAATATTTATTAACAATATACGATTTTAAGAGGACCCCAAGTGACGCCAGGACCCGCAAGTGCTGTCTTCGTCTTACAAACGTACAACACGTAAAGTTAGCGATAAGTTGTTCGAATGTTGTCTAGTTAGAGTTAATACTAAAGTAAATATATCTATAGCAATTGAACGAACAGGAAAGAATATCATCTGTGTTCTATTGGTCGATTTTTTATGATATTTTGATTTCCAAGCGGTTTATGAGTATAATATCACAATCTTTAAAAAACTTAAAACTACATTTGAACTGCAAAGTAAACATTTGTAACGTTATGTGTTTGTAAGACGGAGACACACTTGCAGGTGTGGCGTTCTCTTAAACAGCGTTTTATTTAAATTGTGGTGACGTATGTACCGAAAACACAATATAACGTTTCTCGCGGAAAAAATTGGAAACATGTCGAAATCTGCCGAGCACAGTATTGCAATGATCACAATACCACGCACGATTCCTAGAGTAAAACAAAAATATAAGACAATGCGATCATTTGCCGATCACTAGCACGAATTGCGGGGCCCCGTGCGAAAGAGTTTAAATAAAACCGTATGTGACAATTATTGTTAACGATAATATTACAAGAATCGTATGCGTCATGTCCAATAACTAGTATTTTTACAAACATATTACATTAATACTTTTCTCCAGAATATTACAAGATTATTATTTCAATTGTGAAACGAAAAACATAATATTATTACCTATTGAAAATGTTATATTTTTTGTATTATCATACTTGGTAATTCGTTTTTCTGTAGCGAGATCCGCTCCCGCGGGGCCCTGTGCAGGTGCGCCGGTTGCACTGCCATTGCGCTGGCCTTTGGGACACACGACTGTGGGCGCCGGCCGTATTAATGTCGATTTGACCTTTTCGCGTCTTACTGCAAACATGCACTTGAAAATATGTTCGTGTACAGGATCCAGTGTTGGTGGAGAACATTTCACGGTGGGTGAAACGGGTGGCGGTGCGTTCGGTTGGCGACGGCGGTACAGCGAACACGCCAGTGCCGGTGTTCATCAAGATCACGCCCAATGTGACGGACGTAGTGACCGTGGGCCGGGCGGCCGTTCGGCTGGGTGGTGCCGACGGGTTGACTGCGGTGAACACGGTGTCGGCCCTGGGATCTTTGGACGTGATCAGCGGCGCGGGACGGCCGTGGCCCGGAGTGGGTCAAGCTCCGGGAGTGGCGAGGTCCACGTACGGCGGCATGTCGGGCTCGGCGGTCCGACCGATGGGCCTGCGGGCCGTGTCGGCTTTGGCCCGTGCATTGGGCCCGGACAAGGCGAACGGCGGCGATGGTGGCCCACCCGTACAGATAATGGCCACGGGGGGCGTGGACAGTGCGGCGGTTGCGCTCCAGTACCTGTACTGCGGTGCCAAAGTCGTGCAAGTATGTACAATAATCTGTTCGCTTAGCATTCGGCGTTTCCATCAAAACGTAAGGCGTTGGATTGCAACGGAATCCCAGAGCCGTATTTAAAATTTTGCCACCCATGGACAACAACTATAACTTATGTCTCAATAAAATATTCTTAAATAGATTTAAATTTCATAAGCTACTAAATAATATAAATTATTCTACAGTATTACTTTTATTTTTCATATAATTTTCATAAATAGCTTTCCATTGAAAAGGCGAAAAGACCGAATTTTCTTATTTAGAATCACCGTTACAATTTTTTCGCCCATCTAAATATATTAAGAGGGCTAGTGCCTCCTCGAACTACCCTTTAAATACGGCTCTCACGAAATTCGACATGATGTTCTTTAACGAACGTGGAATTGTATTACATTTTTAAAATATTTAACTAAATCAGGGCTGTCGTCAAGGGGTGGGGGACTATGGAAACATTTCGCCTTAGGCCCTAGTCTAAGAAAATTAAAAAGGGGCTATTTAAAGTTTAGATTGATTTGAAATATTCGGCGTTACCCATTAGAGATTACTGATATTAATATATTATTTCTAAACTATTTTTCTTTAAGAAATATTAATAAATTGGATTAAACAAAAATAACATGAACTCTAATTGAAGCGCTATTATAAACGTTAAATTTTAAATTATTCTAATTTCTAAATTCTTATAACTGTTATTTATTATGGTTTTTGCGGTGAATTTGAAGAATGACATAATTGTATTCAAATTTATGAAGAAATTCGTCATCGCAAGTGTCGACGCGACAACATCCGAGCTCTTATTTCCTATGGCTGTTTAAAAATTATCTTAGAAAATTAAATTAAATTATAATTAATTGAGGTAACTGGTAATACAATGTTGAGAAGTTATTAGAAATGTAATCAATTGCATCGGTGCATTTAAACGAACTTGATAGATTGATCTTTGGAAAACTATATTTACCAAAATGTTGCAATCTTGGCGTGTTCTTTTTTACATCATATTTCTATATTATTGTGATGAACGAAGGGGCCCCCAATCAATTCGTCCCGGACCCTAAGAATCCTTAAGACGGCTCTGAACTGAAAGTAATACATAATACGACAAAAATAATTTCCTGCGATCCACGATTCGGACTTAGTTTTCATGAAAGGCGCATTGTACGCGATTATACGAAACGCGCAACGTTTCGTTTCAAATCCAAATAACACCCCGGTCGCATTACGACGCATTTCGTATACAGGTGTGCAGCGCTATCCAGAACCAGGACTTCACGGTCGTCCAGGACTACATCACCGGGCTGAAAGCGTTGCTGTACATGAACGGCGGTGGTGGCGGTAAACGGCAACCGGTGCAGCGTCGTCCTACTGCCGCGCTGGTCAAAGACATGATCGACCTGTCCGACGATTATGATTTAGTGACTTCGTCGACAGCGGCGGCGGATCGGTGCGGTAACGCCAAGCCCAAGTTCGGCCCGTACTTGAGAAGCCGACGTCGCTCGGAGGCGTCCGAGGCGGCGTCCGAGATGGTCAGCACGATGCGAGGCGCCAGGTCTGGGCGAGCGGCCGCGATGCCAGAAACGGCACGGGGAACGGTAGCACCAGGAATTGATGACCACGCGGAAGGGACGGCCGTCGAACGGGCCGTGGGACGTGCACTGACAGCGGTCGGCGCGTACAAATCGCTCGACAATCGCGCGCAAGTCGTGGCGTTGGTCAACGAGGTCAGTTAACGAGTTTTCGCTGAGAATGCTCGTACTGGTGTGAATCAGAACAGGATTCCCGGTCGGTCAATATCTTACGCAATCGTCGAAATCTTGGTCTAATAACCTCCTCTATGGTGATCATCTATATGTACAAACGCGATTTTTTCTCATTAAAATAAATTTCCGGAAAATCTGTAAACGTAGCCAACGTGGACCATTCCCCCTCCTCCCCGAATTATTCAAAACATCATGTAGATCTCGGAAGTGAACATAGACTTTTATAAAATTCAAAAGTCCACGTTTCCGTTATAAAAATCGTTCTTCTCGAAAGCGGGCGATGCCAGTCGTAGAGTATTTTACATGGTGGGTAAACAGATCGTACTGTTTTCGTTGAAAAATCGTTGTCCCTCCAAACGACTCGTTCGGGCCATCGGTTATTGAACGTTGCCTAAAACAATCGACTTTGCACTACGACGGAGTTTTTACCAATTGACCATTCAGTCGTAATGCAGTCCGCGGGGTTGCAGACCGACCGGATCGCTGTTAAAAAACCCACGCCGTTTTACGATTAACTAGCATTCACGAAAACGTGATAATAACAATAATAATAATAATAATGATAATAATGTCGGCTCGTGTACAGGACTCCTGCGTCAACTGCGGCAAGTGTTACATGGCATGCAACGATTCAGGTTATCAAGCGATCGCGATGGACCCGCTGACACACACCGTCCGCGTTCAGCCGGACTCGTGCACCGGATGCACGCTGTGCCTGACGGTGTGCCCGATCCCCGGTTGCATAAGGTACGTTATTCGCCGGTGAAAGTAGTGTTCAGTGACCGCAAGTACACGAGTGCCTTCAGCATCCCTTTCAAGACCGTTGTGCTGTAGAGGGTGCAAAACATTATTTTTTTCTCTAGATCCGAATAGTGAATTTTTTCGATTACCAATAAAATAAACAGATTAATATACTTAGATTACCATTTACATCAGTTCGTGGATTAATAGCATTCATTAGGTTACCTCGAGGGTTTAAAAAGAGCAATGCTGTATTTCAAAGAGTATTGAACGAAGCTTTTTCTTTATATCTATACAAATCCATAATAATTTATATAAACGATCTAGCACTAATAAACTTAAAGAAAGCTTTAATAAGGTATGTTATTCGCCGGTGTAGGTTATGTTCAGTGACCGCACGTACACGTGCGCGTTCGGTACCGCTTCCGAAGCAAGTTTCCGTATCAAACCGACGTGGAATGCGACGCGAAAAAAAATTTTAACTTATTTAATTATAAAAGTTTTTTACCATTTTGACTGTACATAACATCCATTGTAATTACTATTTTATTATTATTTTACAAAATATTACTGACTCTAACGATGGACGCAGAAAACACACTGTTTACACAGCGTATTTTTATACGTTATCGTATGTTCGAGAATCTTCGATACGATCCCAAAAAGTACCAAAAAATGCTATATATAATACGTCAAAATCTCAGGTGTTTGTATAAGTATAAATTTGTACAGCAGTAGATAAAATGTTTATTATGAATACACAGTACTGTATATAATGTATATAATGAATAATGAAACAGATAAAATTAATATTATGAAATACGAATACAATGCACATTACACCAGCTCGATAATAATAGAACGTTATATTATGTATGTGACAAACTATTTTTAAGTATTTGGCGTTTTTATCATGTTGCTTTAATCTCTGTTCAAAATAGGTCTTTATAGGAGTTTACTCCATGATTTATTGACAGGTAAAAAGGTCATTCGTATGGGAGTTTACGCGCAGATTTATTTTGTGATGAATAAACTGTCAGTGACTTTAGAAGAGACGTTTTTATGTTTTGATGATATACTGACTTTGAAATAACTGAACTTTAGACTGTGGAAAATTTATGAGTTACCCCCCCTCCCAATGACGCCACTGAGCATCAGATATTTATAATGCTCGGTGATGTCATACATATCATTGTACATATCAGATATTTAAATTATGTATAATCATAAAACGTCTGATTGCAATATTATGTTTTATTTTTTAAACGTTTTTCTTATTTTTTAAGTACAGTTTATTTTACATAAAGCTCTCTCTCCTACAGAATTTTGACCCTGTTTGTGCTTAAGGACAATGGTTTTAATAATGATTTTTTGTTCGCAGTATGGTCGAGAAGACAGTGCCGCACGTGATAAACCGTGGTCTGGGCCATCGACAGACGTTGTCTACGTACGCATGTCCCAGCGATCGCGAGTAGTGCTTCTGTGTCGAACGGGACGACCGACTGGCGTATGGAGGGATAGCATTCACGCCGAAAACATACTACCGCTATCGAGAGCTTTTACATTTATTATTTATTGTTTCACGTACAAATATTTTTTTCGTCGTTGTTTGATATCACTGGTATTATATATTTTATCACTGGTCGTTAAATTTTAAGTTTCGACTAAGTTATAATTAAATGTAACGCTATAAATATGATTTTAATTTCTACACATAGTTACTCTTTCGAATATATTTATGTAATTTATTGAATAGTTGATTGCGGTAGTCGTGTAGTAATAGCAGTAGCGAAAGTATTAGTGAACGGTTTAAATAGTACAAATACTTGGTAAACTCATCGAACTTGCACTTCCTCCATAATAATAATAATATTTTCATCAAAAATGTATGTCTCGCATTTTCTCACATTACTCGTCTCTTTCACACATAAACTCTCATTCTCTAGCCCAAAGAAAAACCGCACCTAACTGAGGTTTGAATCGGCTACCAATAACATCGAATTGACAGCACTTCTTCATAGTCAATTGGGGTAGTTCATCTTTACGAAAAACAATTTGTTTTGATTCTTGATAAAATATGTAAATTGTTTAATCAGTGGACATCTATTCATAGGTAGATACATCTGGTATATATCAAGATTACCGTACTATCTTTCATTATGTTTTTTTAATTCACATTGTGTATTTACACAGGGAATCCACATTTATACAGGGAAAAGGTCAGAATAGCTTATAGTTATTTACGAAAGTTAATTTACCTATGTAATTAAAAATCCATATTTTATTTGTGATTTAAAAATGGTCAGAATAAATTGTTTCTACAGAATCGGTGATGTGTACACAGTTTTAATTTAGTTTAAATAACAGAACGTTTTATATTGATTCATGTAGGTATTAGAATGTATTATTATGTAAGTTAATAGGTTATTAGTCTACGTATTACAACTTCATAGCAATTGAAACGATTAATTTAATAAATTCAGAATTATTTATGCATACTTTTGCGAAAGTTGTTGTTCATGAAACAACTGATAATCCAAGAATTTATGAAAATATTATCTTAAAACATTTATATTTATGTGTATTTTTTTAAATTATTCTTGAGCGATTTTTCTTTATGGAATATGTTTAAATTAACTACCAACGACAAAAATAAAAAAATATTATGTATATTTTCCACTTAATTGTAATGTAATGTAATTATATATACATACGTATAAGTTGTATAATTAGTCGATTCTTACGCCGAGTTTTTCCCACATCGCATGACCATATATCAATATCTTTACAAATATTGTTAGCGATTCGTGAAAATAAAAATTAATCATTTATTGACAAAAAAATGAATATTTCATGAGGCTAATTATACTAACGTATATAGGACACATTGTATTTTTCTCTAAAATCTTTTCTTCTAATAGTTTTAACATGATATTCACGGCCGAGTGTTCGAATGACAATATCAAGGTCTACGTAAAAATAATAAAATTGATGTAAATACAAATATGAGTAAATTAATACACCATAGTTATCAATCATAACGATTTAAACAATATTTATGTATGATTAGAATGTATAAATATTGAAAATAAAAACTTTTTACAAAATGTAATACATGTTTGATTTTTCATGTTGAATTTGAAACATATATTAGGAATTTATTAACATTCGAATTGTATAAATGTCTAATACTTAACTCTTTTTTTAAAAATATATTACCAATAGATATTAAAAATGTATCAAATAGTTCATTTATTTTTTTAAATATTTATTAAATATTGAATAAATATATCTATGTTTTGTGATAGGTACGTATAGAAATACGATCCAAGTAATACTACATTATGTGCATTATTAAGTAAAAATCGAAAAATAATACATTACAGTATAGAAATAAATACGGGAAGTGGTCGATACTGTCTTTACCACCTAACAAAAACCGAATCAAATGTAAATCTATTTGTAATCAAAAATAAATATCTAGTATAATATTCACCAATTATCAGTGTTGTGTTCAGATAAAAAAATATATCTAGATAAAGATAGGATGGGCAAATAATTAATCAATCTAGATATAGATACCTAAATAAATATAATTTTTATCTAGATACAATAGAGATAATTTTTTTAAATTCTATATGTATTAACAAATAATTGAAACTAAAAATTAAAAAAATGGTTTTTATTTTATGAAGTTTCTAATCAACAAAAATAATTCAATTTCTTTTTGTACCTTAGATAAGTATAAAATAATACAGCTGATATAAAAGCAACTCCTACTATAAATACTATAAATATTTTTGAGTCTTAAGAGAATACAAATGTTTTGGTGAAGTTTTTATAAATTTTAATAACTTCAATAATGTTACATAATATATTCACAATACTCTAAAGTTGATCAATTTTTGATGTTGAATGATTTAAGAAAACTGAACTAATTATTTGTAGCGGACTGTAATTTATATTTATTTCTTATTCATAAAAACATTTTTAAATTATTAATCATTTACAACATTGTATCGCTATTGACATAAGACCAAGAATGACTGAAAACATTAATACATAGTAAAAACATAATTAACAATGTTTTTTTTTAACAGTATATATTACAAAAAACAAGATTTATTCTTAACAAAATTAATTTATTATTAATAAAAAAATGTTGAATATAATAAATGTTATCTTCTACATAAAAATAAATTAACAAATATTAAGTAATTTTAAGTCTTACACCTACAAAAAAAAAGTTTTTCAAAGGTTGAATCATCAAGACGATTTCACCTTCATGTTGATATTTGAACAGCACCACTAAACAACCTTTCTACAGATGCTGATGAAGGAAGAGTTATATTATATTTTAAAAATATTTGTTAATAACTGGAAATTTGTTTAATAATATAACCATTTTTTTTTTTTAAGTCAAATGCTTCAATGTTTATAAATCCTGTCTTAAGCCAATTGCATCATGCGCAGAGTCATTAATTGGATTTTTCCCAGATAAATGATCATACAATTGTTTATTCATACTATCACTCTCATTTGTCGAGTCAGAATGTGTAGTCATTACAGTAGACGTCAATTGCATTCATCAATGAATATTTTTTTACATAAATCATTATACTTAATAGACACCCAGCCCATTTCAAACTAAGGATTACTTATTGAAGCTAATATAAAATTCTTGTTTTTTGAATGACATAGATTAAATAAAAAATAAAATTTTTTCTCGAGACTACTGATAATTAAAATACTGATATTAGGTGTACAGTAAATGTAATACAGTAATTAATGATTTTTTTAAAACCAACAGAGTAGGAGCAAAGTCAAAAAACTATTCTTTATTATTTATGTACTTTGTAATTTATCTAACGAATAAGCCAATGGTTTCATAATCATACAATACTTCCCAATGAATAGTATAATAGTGTTATTAAAAATTTTAATTGTATAATATTCTTTTAATTATTTGGTATATATCAATATGATAATGTTTTGTAAAAAAAAAACCAAATATTTTAGGATATAAGTCAATAAAAAAAAAAATATTTATACAATTAAGATTTAAATATCTATAAAATAGTTGTAATACATATCTTAATTTATTGAAAATCAAGTAATATAGAAAATAGTTATGTTTTATATTGAGTTAAGGTCATTAAAAATTAATTAAAGTCCATAGTATAATATGGAAGATATTATTGACTAGGTACCTATATTCTTATTTATTTAATTTAAATAAAATTGTTTTATTCATGTGTAGATGATACATTAATATATGAGTTATTACTTATTTGGTAGTTGGTTAATGGTTACACGAATAAATATAATTTAACAACTAGTATAATTATAATTATTATATAAAACCGTTATGTTTTCTAAACCTCATATGTTATACCTATATTATATTATATCTAGTGTTTATTTAATTTATCTTATCTTTATCTTTATATATTTTTTATCTAAACACAACACTGGACATATAAGTAGGATTTGTTTTACTATTTTATGGAGTAATTGTAACTGTATATGGTAGTTTGTAATATTTAAAACAGCAAATTAAAAACATTTAAAAAAAGATATAAGTATAATGTACAAATATATATATATATAAGAAAATTGTTAATTATTCAATCATTTTAATCGTGATTAATAGTCAAATAAGAGACAAACTGAATTAATAATTAGTAATTACCATATTCTCTGAAATTTGTTTTGTACGAACATCCAACATTTTAGGTTGAATTAAATTTATATTTGTTTGATACCTTGTTGTATCAACTTTTGATAATAGAAATGCATGTTGTGTCTATTAAAAAAGCATAGGTATAAAAACTTAATAGATCTTAGTAGTTAATTATACAATTAGGAATAAGTTAACATTTTTTTAAAAACACTATAATAAGACTTAATAAGTTGCCACTTGACTAAAAGGAACTTTCAGTTTTGTTGCAGTTTACGAATAATGCCATAAGTTTATCCCCATCTGTCAACACCAATTTGTATAACTCGTTAAATAAATATTTTAATGTACAATGTGTATGTGGTGACGCAGATTTTGGATCATTCACCTCTTTTTCGGCGGGTTTTTTCCATTTAAAGAACTTGGGAGGTGTTAATGGCATTAAATATCGATGCATATTTGGTGTTTATAATTTTAAACTTCAAAAGTAACAATTAAGTAATAAACTTAAAAGTTAATGAAACTCAAAATTCAAAGGTACGACTGTACAAGTCATATGTTACTACTAAAAAAAAAAACACAAAAAAATTAATTGAACTGCAAAACTACTCAAACACTATTTACATGATTGATAACACGAAAAATAACATTGTAATAATCTTTCTTACTTCGTAGATGAGTCATTTTCCATGTTAATGCGCGACAGGGATTAACCAGAATTAACACAGAATAGATTTTAATCAATGATAGTTACCAATACTAGGTAGGTATATTATAGAATATAATAAAGGCTCTGTCAAACAGAACACGTTATTAACGTCACGGTAATACAGTCACGTCAGCGTTATAAAGTATACGAGTATATATATATATACAGAAATGGAACTAGGAATTTTTACACCCAGAGAAAATGTTAAAATTATGCCCTATCATAGAAAAATAATCAAATACT